TTCCAATTTAATGTAATTACTAAATGTGAAAAAAGGTTCCATCTTTGGCCTTAGTTCTTAAACTAACCATCCTCCCTGGGTGAAGAAACATTTTACTTTGGCTTCATCTCTTGCTTTTAGGTTGACAACTCCAAAGTTCTACTTTTAGCCCAGAATTTTCTCCTGCAATCTTTGGAAGAGTATCTAATTGCCAGTTAGGAGTTCTCCAAGTAGTAATCACATGAGCATCTCAGTATCTTTTCTTAATTTTTCCCACCAAACCTGCTCATCTTGTATTAGTCATTTCTTTGAAAGGCTGGAAACTTAGGGATCATCTTCCACTTCCTCCCTCATTAAAGTGTTCTGTGTTCTATGTTCTACTGATTACATTTCCTTCTCTTTATCCCCATGGCCAATATCTCACCCAGGCTTTTGTTATTTATAAATTTAGGTCACTAATAGCCCCTGAATTCATCTCACAATCTGCAGAATTATCTTTTTCCAATTCACTCTCAAAAATCACCCCCCTACACACTGATCTTACAGTCTTAGCCAGTTCTCAATCTGCCTCCTTGCTGCTTTTGAAGTGTTTTTGTTTTGTTTTGTTTTTAAAGTTGTGGCATCCTTCCTTTTTGTTTACCTGACTTAATTCAACTTCTCTTTTGAGACTCAGCTCAGGCACAATCTCTTACTACCATGTATCAAAACTGCTTATTAAAACTATTGTACCCCATGAGGATGTAAGCTCTTGTAAGTAAAGGATCATGTCTTTTATTCATCCCCGGTATCCAGCTAATGCTGATAAAATGACATTAAAAAAATAAGTTTCTTTAAAAATGAATGAAAAACAATTACATTTTAAAAAATGCAAGAACAAGGACATGTCCTGGAAAGTGGGAGTTCATTCCAAATTTAGGCTCTACATCATGTCTAAAGCACAAAAATGTTCCTCATAATATTGGTACTATGTTCTCAAGAGAATGTGAAATTAATAGTTATGTTAACTGGCTGAGAAATTTTCTTATAAAACTCAATGGGGAGACAAATATGTATTAATATCGAATATCAAACTGGTTGAAGGAAAAACATGCATCTGCTTAAATGTAGAATAAAAGCAAAGACTTTAGAATTAGAAGATTTGGGTTCAAATCTTGAGTTTCATTAACTAGTTATTAGAGCTTGAACAGAAAATGCCCAGCTATCTTCAGAAGCTATGAGAACTAAATTAGCTAATACATGCAAAATATTTAGCACAACGCCAAATAATACCAAGTGCTCCATAAATAATAAATATTAACATAAATTATGAAGATACTTTATTAAGTGCTATACATTTTATAAGACTTTATATACATACATAAAATAGTTCTGCAGAAATTCAGATGAAGGAGAAAACATTACAGACTGGCAGTATTCAGATAGGTAAAAAAAGATGAGCAATTTAGGAGGCAGAAATGGTTTTATAATTAAAGAAAGAGACAAAGGTACTTTCTGGCTCTTAACATCTATGACTATAATATATAGGTGCTATGAAATAAACTGTGTTCCCCCCCCCAAATTCATATGCTCAAGCCCTAATCACCAATGTGACTATATTTGGAGACAGGCTCTTCAGAAGGTAACTAAGGTTAAGTAAGTCATAAGAGTGGAGTCCTATTCTAATAGAACTGTGGCCTTAGAAGAAGAAGGAAAGATCTCTCTCTCCGTCATATGAGAACAAAGAGAAGGCTGATGTGTGAAAGCCAGGAAGTAGGCACTCACCAGCAACTGAACCCTGCTCCACTTTGATATAGGACTTTCCCAGCCTCTAGACCCTTGAGAAAATAAATGCCACCCCAGTCCATGGTGTTTTGTTATGGCAGCCTGACCCACTCAAGAAAATACAAGACAGGAACAGAAAATAAAACTGGTAAAGTAGGCTGATGCCACATTGTGGTGACTCTTGCTTGGTAGCCTGAGGATCTTGGGTATTTTCTTGTGGACACTTGTTAACAGTAGGACAGACATAAAACATTCCTGATAATGGTCAGTATTAAAGTAGGAAAGGAAGTATGTAAAAAACACAGGCACTGGGTATAACAAAACAAACAAAAAAACCCAAATACACATAGGACTCAGAGTAAAAGGGCCAGGACTCAAGTTCTAGTTCTCCTTTGTGATTCTATGTCCTTTGGCAGGCCCTAACCCATGTGGAACCTCAACTTTCTCCTGTGTACAAGAGTAATAACATAAGCTATTCCCAAGGGATTTCTATGGGTATGACATAAATGAAAATGATTTGTAAGCTTTGAGGCACTATATGAATGCAAGGTATTTATTACAGAAAATGACTGTAAGAAGAATTCTATGTGAAAAAGACTATTAAAACATTAGATAAGGACATATGAATTGTGCTTCAGGAATAGATAGCAAAAAGTTAACTTGAATTGCTGTATGAAAACTTGCATCTCTAGAAGATAAACTGCAAAATAATTTAGAGTATTCATATATAAAACTGCAGTGTTAACTTTTTCACCAAATGGCATTATAACATTCTAAGTAGTCCTCTGCATAATAAATAAATAGAACAAAAAGGTTTTCTTGTCTTCCCCACTTGTTCTCTCCTCCCATCTCCTTTGCTCTTTTAAAGGCAGGTTTATTGAGGTATAATTTACATACAGTAAAATTCAGACCTCTTGGGTATACAGTTTTGACATAAAGCTTATATAATGTATAACCACTACTTCTGGTAATCCCCAAACCTTTCCCATGTTCCTGTGTAGTAAATCCCTCCCTCACCCCAGGTACTCACTTACCTGATTTGTGTCCCTAGAGCACTGCCTTCTCTAGAAAGTTATATAAATACAATTATATAGTGTATATGTAGCCTTCTGCGTTTGGCTTCTTTCACTTACCAAAATGCTTTTGAAATTAGTCCATACCATATTGTTGCAAATATCAACAGATTATGGCATCTGAATTATTTCTAGTTTTTGGCAATTACAAATAAAACTGCTGTAACAGTTATATACAGGCCTTTGTATGGACATATGTTTGCATTTCTCTTGGGTAAAAGAATACCTAGAAGTGGGGCTGCTACATATTGTGTCAAGTGTATTTTTAATTTTATACAAAACTGCCAAACTGTTTTCCTTTTCTTTTCCAATGAGTAATGTATGAGAGTTCCGGCTACCTGGCATTCTCGTCAGCACTTGGGACTATCAGTTTGTTCAATTTTAGCCCTAGATTCTAGTAGGTATGATGTATCTCGCTATAGTCTAATTTGTTTTTCCCTAATGACTAAAGATTTCAGCATCTTTTCATGTGCTTATTTGCTACCCATTCGTTCTAAATTGATATATGGAAATACTCAACATAGCTGTTATATTTTGTTATGGATACATATACAATATGTACATATAAATATACCACTATGCAGAACTGCAATATAATTGTCATCCAAAAAACTGCGAGGACAGCACATATATGCAGAAATCACTGAAAGTGCCTACAAGAACTAAAATATTCATTTCATCAATGCACATTCATTCACTGGGCATTGAGAAAATAAAAAAAAAAATTAAGAGGATTAATTCCCCTAGAAGAGTAGTGCCAACAAGCCATCCCAGAACCTGGACCAGCCGGTTTCATGAAAAAAATTCTAGAAAACATTTAAAGGAAAGGAAATTCTAAAGCGATTCCAAAGTATTAAAAAAACTAGAAATCTTCAGATTACACTTATGACATAAACAGAATATTGACACCAAAAAGTAGAACTGTAGACCAATCTTACTTATGTCAATGCAAAAATCCTAAATGATACAGTAGCAGTGAACTGAATTCATCAATATAATAAAACAAAAAACAAAAAACAGAGCCAAGTGAGGTTTATTACACAATGTAAAGCTGGTTCAATATTAGGCAATCTTTTAATAGAATTCGCTATAATAACATCTAAGGAGATGGACTAGGCTGGTGTCAGCCAACTCTGGCCAAAAGGTTGGCTGCCTGTTTTGTAAGTAAAGTTTTATTGGAACAAAGACATGCTCATTTGATTACATATTGCCTGTGGCTACTTTTGCACTACAAGAGCAGTTGAGACGTTGCCACAAAGACCTTATGACCTAGAAGCCTAAAATATTTACTGACCGTTTAAGAAAAAGTTCACCAGCTTGTGCATTCAATGATCATTATCATAGATGCCTAAAATCTGTATAACAAAATGCAAGAATCACCTAGAATTTTAATTCACAGTACAGTGATTGTTCTCCTAACAGTCAATTTCCTGTATGTCTAATCAATAAAAAGTGAAAAATGTCTTTCCTTTTTTTTTCAATTACACATTAACTGAAAGGTGAAGTGAAATAAGACCCTTATTTTTTCATGATTTAATTTTATAAAACTACTAATTATGTAATGGTGAAACTTTCATGCATTCATTAAGTCAAAACAAAACAAAACTCAGGTGCAGAAGTATCTATTATTACCAACTCTATTAAAAAAAGGAGAATGTGTATTCCTATTTATTTGTAAATTCATAAAAAAATCATCTGTAAAGGGGCACAAAAAACTAAAAAAAAAAAAATAGTATTTACCTATTTGGGTTTTGGCAGAATCTGGCCAATGAGGGATGTGGTAGAAATGAGAAATTCATTTCATATTTTTATATCCTCTATAAATTTTGAACCATGTGAATGTACTACCTACTCCTCTGACAAAAAAACTCACCTCAAATAGATATATAAAAAATAACAGTGTTCTTCGTGGTTTGGAAATATTTTATAAATTATAAATGGATTACCTGTTCTTTGTAAGAATCTGATTATAGGTAGGAGATGGCCAGGCCATCTTGTTGACAAAGAGATATTAGAGCAGTTTGGTTTTATTCTCTCACTGTCCCTAAATTTATTTTACACAATTTTCATGGATTTTGGACCTGACGGGACAAATGAAAATGTACAGTTTCTTCCCAAAACCTTAGATAATATTCTGAACAATTATGACTCTACTAAATCATTTTACTTAAATAAATAAATACATACCATTATCTTCTTCAATTCCAACAGGCCCTGCTTGAGGAGTCTCTCCATTCTTTAAACAATTATGGATATATGTTGCCTTCCACCTTGCATACTTCCTGTGTTTCACATTCTAGAAGGAATATTTTTATATCAATATTAAATTTCAGTAAGAAGTAAAAATATGTATGTATGATAACCTATGTGGTATTTCTGAGATAAAACCCATTTTTGCATGTTATATCTCTGAGACAATCCGGCAACCTCCCCACCCCACCACTGGATTCTACCAACTGTCTAGGGTTCAAGAGACCACAGAAAGCTATCTTCCTGAAAACACATGCCTAGTCCTCTCTTCTGATTCTGTATTTCAGAAAAGGTCTGCAATGGAAATATGGGAGTGTCCTTCAGTAAAACTTGTAAACCTTATGCACCTGGGAGAACTAGGCTAAATGGAATTCTAAAATTAAATATAAAAGATAATAACAGTAGGCTGAGCTATTTCCACCAAAGAGGAAAAAACTGATCTGTACAAATCTATGAAAACACATTTGTGAAAACAAAAGGAAAACTAAGATGATGCAGGGGTTAAAACAAAACACTAGACAGACAGCTAAGCAAACTTGACCTTTTAACCCATAGCATGCTACTTACTAGCTCTGAATCTCAGTTACCTCAATTCCAAAAAGGGGAAAATAATACCTCATGGGTTTGTTGTAAGAACTGAAAATATCAGTAAAGAACCTGCTAGTTGCCTTTTCTTTTCTGCCTTAAAATTTGTGCTACACACTATAAAAGTTAAGACAAAAATTTGATTTAAAAATATAAAAAAAGTAGTATCTGTTAGAATTTTGGATGGGTTAGTAATTTTTACTTTATATTTCAATTGACCTTTATGACACTCGTGGACCAGTGATACTGGTATCAACTGGCAGCTCATTAGAAATGCATAATCTTTAAACACATTCCAGATCTCATAACTCAGAATCTGCACTATAATAAGATCCCTAGGTGATCTGTATGCACATTAGAGTTTAAGACACTTTTCATTATGTTGAAAACAACTGTAATGTGCCTTTTGCAAAGAACCACTACATCATGGATAAGTACAAACACAGCATACAGCACAGATACTTAGTTCAGCATTTTATGCAAAATTATCTAGATACTACTACATATGTTTATAGAAACCTAAAAGAAGTAACACCCAAATTACTGAATTTGTATCATATTTAATTTCCCTTTTCTTATCAAACAATCCTCTTCTATATTCCACTAAAAACAACTTTTCTACATTGATTTCCATTTTCTTCCAGGTATGATTATAATTTATTCTTCACAAAGAAGCTTTTCAAAAGCAGCATCCACATTTAACATTTTCACTTCCTCACCAGCTAATTCACTCTAGAGAGAAAAGAGGTTCTTTCTTTTGTTTGGTTCTTATTTTCATCACATAAAAGGTCAGAGAATTTGAATGTGCCTTGCCTTTTAATGGCAGTGAGCCCACGTGTGCAAGCCCCCACCTCACTTAAGTTGTTAGTTCACATAAGGAATGTGCTCAGTGTCACCAACAGCCCTCTCCACGCTGGCAAATCCAACAGACACTTGTAAGCATCATCCTACCAAACCTTTCATCAGCATACAAAACATCGAACCATTCCAAACTCTGAAAAATTCTCTTATTACAGGTTTTTGTGACACTCCTGTTCTCCTGCTTTCCCTCCTATCTTTGGCTACTAATCCTGTTTCATCTCCAAATAAATTTACACACCCTGTCCTAGCAGATACTGTAAATGGGTGGGCTCAATCAATGGATTCATATATAATTTTAAATATGAATTATGTTTCTACACAATTAAATACCAGGAAAGTCACTTACTAATGAAGGGAATTACTTCAAATTTCCAGCGATTTAAAATTTCCCTATTTTTGGGAAAACCTAAGCTACAGATAACCTCAACATTTTTTGGGCTTCTTTAATAACTGCTAATGGTTAAGACCTTCAGATAGGCAATATGGGAGACATAAAATAAGCCAATACAGTAACTTCTGCCCTTAGAGAGCTGATCATCTTGTTATGGATACAGATCTAAAATACAAAGGAATATTACCATAAAAATTTAGTAGGTAGAAAGTATTGAACTTGTTTAATACGTCCATAATAATGGACAAATGATAAAGTAAATGTACTTTTAGCTTGGTCTTACAGGATGGGTATGATGGAAAGTAGCAGTAAGACTATCCTGGGGAGAAGTAAAAGAATAAGCAAAGGCAGAAAGGCAGAAGTAAATGAAGGGTTTAGAAATGATGATGAAGAAGTAAATTTGCCATTGGTGGAAGATACATACTATGGACTAGTTGGATAAGTAAGAAAAATCCAAGGCAAGAGTAAAGCTGTGGACCAACATCTTTATAGTACCCTATAGGTTTTGAAGCACTTACACATTTTTCTCTTAATCGGTCCTCACAATAAACTTGAAATTTAGGCAGGTCACATTTTACTCCAAGGCTGTGAGACATTAAAAGACTGTCAATGTAAATACAGTTTAACCTGGCATTCAAGGCCTTCTACATTGTGGCTATTGTTTCAGTCTGCTCTACTTCCTACTATCTCCCCTCAATCCAGGTGAGATTCTGTCTCACCTGCAATCTTTTCTCATGCTAGTCTTCCTATCTAACATGGCTTCCTCTTCTGATAAAAGTCTCCTTTGACTTTCAAATGTTTACTCTCTTATCAACCTCCCTGACTACCAGCAAGTGAAGTAATCATTTATTCAAGTCAGTTACAGATGCTAAGTGCTGGGGATAACAGGATGAACAAGGTAGGTCTGAACTTCGGAGTCTAAAGTGAAAGCTAGGCAATAATTTCCATCACTAAATGTGGCATCTGTACTACCTGAAATCTATGATATTTTCTTCACCTTTTTCTCTTAGGATTCTGCAATCCCATTATTATAAATATGAGGAAATGGCAGTACAAAAGTAAATGACTTACCCAAGGTCACACTATTTTGCAGTGAAGCGATCCACTCAATTCAGGGCTACCTTGATAAGCATACCACGATTTGCAACTCAGATGGGAATATATGAAATAAGGTAAAACTGGCTTTAAAAGGTCAGCTACTTAATGCATAGTAACATAGGCTATAACTTGGTATATATAAAGAGGACCCTTTTGAAAGAAAATGAATAAATTGCTTAGGAAAGTTTAATTTGCCTTCTTTTGGGATCTTTACAAATAGGACAGACTATTCTTTGCTCAAAATAATTTAACACCATCTAAAGACTAAGTTGGATTAAGTTGTATTGTGATAACTTTAGGAGGTTCCTTCAGTCCTAATTTCATAGTAAAAAAATAGTGTAAAGATGTTTAAACCACGTTGGGTTCCTTCATTAGAATGTGAAGTTTAAAAACGTTACTCTAACCTGAGATGGTTTCATTTTAGTAATTACATTTTACAAAATTTCCCCAGAGCAGATAAATCAATACAACCATTTATTTTTTATTCCGCAATTACTTCAAGACACCCCTGCAAACTGGAGCTTATACTACTTCACAGATTTTGGCAGTTGTAACTCAAAATTAATTTTTTTAATTTTGTTTTCTTTAAAATAAAGGATGCTAGATATCAAAGAATATTTGAAGAGGAAAATTTCAAGGTGTCAATATTTTTGAGATCTTTTAACTCCTTTTGGCTCATTAGACATCCTTTCTGGGAAACAGGAATTACAAAAAGAACTTTTACTTTTGTCCCTGGCCTCTAAGTTCCTGTTTTGTAACTGGATTGATGAGAGTCACTGACAAATGCAAATTTTGGCCATGAGAGTCAGCAGTGGCAAGGATTTTCATTTAATTTTTAAATCATATGCACTTGCTACACTGAAAAATGACTGGTTAGCAAATGCCAACCAAAGGCTACAGCAGGGGTTCATAAACCTGGTACATATAAGGATCACATGAGGATATAATAAAAAAAATAAATTCTTAGCCCAAACCATGGAATATCTGATGAAAATCATTTTCTATTACAATGCCAAAAAGCCACCATGAAAGAGAATGCTCCCATTCTTCCTCTTGGATTTCTGTATTGAACCCACCTAGTCAAGTTTCTATCCCACTACAATTGCTTTTGTCAAGGTCACAGATTACTTCTCTCTTGCAAAATCCAAAGCTTAGAGATCATGCTACTTGACTCTATCAGCATGAAAAGCTGAGCACTTCCTCCTCCTTGCAATGTCCTTTCACTGGGTTTCCTGGGTATCAAGGTCTTCTGGTTTTCTCTGCCTTGCTGGGAGCTCCCGATTCTTTTTATCTACAGGGTGGGGAACATGCCACAGCTTCAGTTCTTGGACTTCCCCTCTTCTCTTCTAACACTTTACCTGGGCAATCTTATCCAGTGTAATGGTTTTATTTTTTTTTTTAAGATTTTATTTATTTATTTCACAGAGAGACACAGTGAGAGAGGGAAGACAAGCAGGGGGAGTAGAGGAGGGAGGAGCAGGCTTCCTGCGGAGCAGGGAGCCCGATGTGGGACTCGACCCCCGGGCCCCAGGATCATGACCCAAGCCGAAGGCAGACACTTAACAACTGAGCCACCCAGGTGCCCCAAGTGTAATGGTTTTAAATATCACCTTATGCTGCCAACTCCCAAATTCATATCTTCTGCTCAGTTTTCTCTTGTGAACTTTCAATTTACCTCAACATTTTACTTGTATGCCTGATAGTTCAAAGCATTCAAAGTTCAACACCAACTTCTGATCTTCTCCCACTCATTTTGTTCTTCCACGTCAGTAAATGGCACCTCCATTCTTGCCATTGTTCAAGCCCAAACCACTGGAGTCATTTTTAGTCCTCTATTTTCCTCTATTTCTCTTAAAATTTACCAACAAATCTTTAAAGTCTGTCAGCTCTCCATTCAAAATATATTCAGAGTCCAAATACTTCTCACCACCTCATCTACTGCAAATTCTGGCCTCAGCCAGTATTACTTCTCTCTCCCTACTTCCATCCTTGACCATTAGAAAGAAATATTCTACTTTATTTTATTTTAATAATTTATGAAATACTTTAAAAATAGCACTTAAATCCCATCAATTCCGGTTGAACTCCTCCTCACCCTCACCTCCTATTTC